ATGAGGAGCTGATATTAAGGCTCAAGTAGAAAGCAAATGTTTTGAGAATGATGATGGCAACAAATGTACAAATGTGCTTGACACAATGGATGTATTAATGGATTGTGATATGAATTGTATGAGCACACGATAAAATGATTTTTTAAAAATTAACTGGACACTGCATCAGGGACTGGCCCTATTGTCTAAAGCAGTGGTTCTCAACTTTCCTAATGCTGAGACCCTTTCATACAGTTCCTCATGTTGTTGTGACCCCCAACCATAAAATTCTTTCCGTTGCTACCTCATCACTGTCATTTTGCTACTGTAATGAATCAGACAACCCCTGTGAAGGGTCTTTCGACCCCCAAAGGGGTTGCCACCACACGTTGGGAACCGCTGGTCTAAAGGAAGGAGCAACTACTGATTAATCAAAGAGGCATCTAAGTTCACTTTGGGAGTCCCGTTCACTCTACACCAGGGGTTGACAGTCCTTGAGACTAAGGGGACTGGCTGGGTATCCGTGGAAGGATTACTCAAGAGTAAGCTGCCCTTGTTGCTGTCTCAGAAATCACAGTAAGAGTTTGTTATGCTCTCAATCTGGCCATTTTGCTCCCAGCTCATTCCCAACAACCTTTCAGCCATATAATCCTTAACTGTGTGGATGACGTTATAACATTTTTTCCAGAACAAAAATTTGAGAAATAGCCCCATTACTCAACCCTGAAGTCAAGTGGTCCAAGGATGGCAGTAGTGTTTACTCAAATGGCACTTTAAAAGCAGGCTATGCCATTGTAAGCCAAACCAAGGTAAGAGAGGTCCAAGTTCAAAGATAATGTTCAAAACTTAAGCATAGGAACGGTTGTCTGAAAGACACAGGACTGGGCAATGTTCCCTTCTGTTGTACATAAGGCCGCTATGAGTCAGAACTGTCTCAATGGCACCTAACAACAAGTCCCTATGAGCATCTAGTATCCTTGAAAGACATCTACCAAGATTGTCTCTTTAGTCTCGGACATGAATGATGAGGGTTGTGATAGGTAGGTTTATTGTGCCAACCTGGCCAATAAGAACATGTGGGATTAATAAGGTTGCAGTTTGATTGGAGGGCAAAGAGATAAATGGCTTGGCAAGTCCCACCTCTATCTCTTGTTCTCTATTGATTGTATACACTACCTGTGGGACACCCAACGTGTGGAATGATGTC